TTTTTTTCTCTTGCTCCTTTTTTAGGCTAGCAAGCAACGGCGCTGCGTGGTTGCCTGTGTTAAGGTTGTTGGATGAGGTGGAAAAGTGCCTGCCTGTGGCGTATAAATAGCTTTTCTCAACTCCAGGCATGTTGTCTGGGTGGCACTGCGTGGCGGCATCGTGCGGAGATGATTAAGTTGCTTTTTCCAGTCTCGGTGATCCGTAACGGTCGCATTAATATTTGGACGAATTTTGCCAGTGTAAAATCACTTCTTCCATCTACGAGATTGTGTAACTTTGAACTTGCTGTTTTGAGGGAGTGATTTCATTTTGATTTTGGTTAAGTGTGTGTTTTGGCTAACTGTGCATAATTTTTTGTTCCTAGTTAGCGCATCCTCTCCAGATCCTGAAACAAGCTTAAAAATTTCCTCTGCTCTTCCTGTGGACATGGGAGATGTCTCTTGGTTCTCTTGCAAATGTAAATAGTGAGTTTTCCCAAGTAAATCCAGCTCTGTGACTCAGGTTTTCGAATGCTGAAATGGAAAGAGGCTGGAAACCTCTAACTGAGCAAGATTGTGAGGCTAATTGGAGGCCTTAATTGGAAAAGCTCTGCGGAGCATCACAGCTGCTCAGAAACTGCTCAAAGGATTTTTGCCGTCTTATGAATTTAACCCAGGCTACATGATTTTTGCTTTGGCATGTGTCTTCCTGGAGTGAAAATCACATATTATTCATTTAATCCTGAATGGGAACATCTCTTTTTAAAAGCAACTGATAGTTTAATAAGTCAGTCAAATTTTAATTCAAACACTGATGCACGTACTGTTTATCGCAAATATTTGTAAGGCGGTCACAGTAATGCTGCTTTTATTTATATATTGCAATTCTGTTTCACAAATACTAAAACACATTTACAACATTTATACAAGCAACATCTTTCATAAAGATCATATAAGCATTGCATAGGACCTGGAACACACATGTGCTCCAGATAGCTGTGTTTAATAGGAAAACCACAGGAAAGTGAGTGAAATGAACTGCCAGATCATTTTATATTTGAAAGAAGGAGACTCATGCTTAGTAGCAGCACTGATACAGATGTTCATATTGCTTACAGACTGCAGTAAAAATATTGTCTCACAAATGAAGATATTTCAAAGGTTTATTTAAAATAAAAGATGTATACCTTGTTAAAATCTGTCATAACACAGTCAAGCACCAAGACCTAGGCAAGAGCCTGAGCACTTCTTTGTGTTACTGTACAATATTTGTATGTGTAAGGTTTCCACTACCTGATTCTTAGTAACACACAGTAGGAGTAAGTTCATTTTTAAGCATCCTGCTAGGGGTGGACTTCTTAAATAGATCGAAGTCCATGGAAGCAGTTGCCCCTGGTTCCTCCAGTGTGATGTCAGAAACATGAGAAAACTTCATCAATACAAAAATGTTTGTTTTTTTTTTTTTAAGTGAGGTTTGCTGAGTTGTACTGTGCTTGTCCATATTAGTGAAATAATGCTTAGGTTGCTTAGGTGTGTATGGAAATCACAGCTGTGGTAGGTGGTGCTGCTGATCTGCCTTCTCGAGTTCTTTCCAAACCTGCAACACTGTATGCCAGTTTAGATTTCGACCTGTTAGTGATCCTGTGAATTAATATGAATTATGTTATTCCATTGGGTTTTATTGGCTATGTGGTCATGTTTGTTTTGTCACTGCGACTCGAAACTTATGAGAATGTTGTGCCTCCAGAAGAACCTATGGGATGTATGCAATTAAGGGTTTATTGTGGAGGTTTTTTTCCACTCCCTTTATCATGTGTGATTAGATTACATACTCCTTTTCTAACCCTAAAACCTCAGTAATTACATTTCAGACATAGCAGATACTAAACATAACATAAAATCTTTCATAGGGATCCACGTGCCGAGTCCTGCGCTTGGGCCACAATAACCCCATGCAACACTACAGGCTTGGGGAGGAGTGGCTGGAAGGTTTCCTGGAGGAAAAGGACCTGGGGTTGCTGGTCAACAACCAGCTGAACACGAGCCAGCAGTGTGTCCAGGTGGCCAAGAAGGCCAATGGCATCTTGGCCTATACTGGGAATAGTGTAGCCAGCAGGACTAGGGAAGTGATTGTCCCACTGTACTCAGCACTGGTGAGGCCGCACCTTGAGTACTGTGTTCAGTTTTAGGCGCCGCAGTATAAGGACGACACTGAGGTACTGGAGCGTGTGCAGAGAAGGCCAATGAAGCTGGTGAAGGGTCTTGAGAATAAGTCTTAATGAGGAGTGGCTGAGGAACTTGGAGTTGTTTAGTCTGAAGAAAAGGAGGCTGAGGGGAGACATTATCGCGCTCTACAGCTACCTGAAAGGAGGTTGTAGAGAGGTAGGTCTCTTCTCACAAGTTACAACCACTAGGACAAGAGGAAATGCCATCAAGTTGCACCAGGGGAGGTTTAGGTTAGAAATTAGGAAAAACTTCTACACGGAAAGGGTTATCAAAGACTGGAACAGGCTGCCCAGGGAAGTGGTTGAATCACCGTCCTTGGATGTATGTAAAAGCTGTCTAGATACAGTGCTCAGGGACAGGGTTTAGTAGTGGGCCTGGTAGAGTTAGATAACGGTTGGACTTGATGATCTGAAAGGTCTTTTCCAGCCATAATGATTCTATGATTCTATCACCTTGCCTGACAGTGGCCAAAATGAATCCCTAGGGAATAGCATCTGGAAGAAGGGTGCAGTGAACCTTCCCCAGGGCACTCTTTCAGACTGTGACAGGCATCCTAGAGACAGCCTGAACTAATCGTTGACTATCGGGATTTTTCGTGTTCGTGTTTGTCCAGTTACTTTGGTAATCCTTGCGAACTGCATGGGTTACAAAAGCAATCTCCTGTGAGTCCCAATTACTTGGAACAGGCTTCCATACAAAAGTGTCTTTCTCCCTTATCTTAGCTACAGGCTACTTAGACTCTTTTCCTCTTAGTTACTCTTCTAGTTTTTTCTCTGTTCATTTATATTTTAATACTTCACAGAGATTTTTCCTATTGATTAAAAGGAAGTGAGACCAAAACCTTATTCTGGAGTGTAGAAGCCAGTTTTGATAGATGTGCTTATGTTGTAACTATTTCTGCAGCAAATGTGACTAACGCATGTTTTTTTTCTTTGGCTCCTTTAAGCAAAGCAAATCGGCTGTGAGATTGAAGGAGGACATGAAAAAGATAGCCGCACTCCCACTGAACAAGCAGAGGGACACGACCGCTCCAAAGGTGTTTGGTGTGAGTCTTCTGGAGCTCCAGCAGCAGGGACTGAGCAAGAACGGCATCCCAATAGTTGTGTGGAATATAGTTGAGTACCTCACCCAGCATGGTAAGCTCAATGAAGTCACTTTTGCTTAGTAGCACTTTTTATGTGAGACTCTTCAAAGGGAGCGATCTGTCTCTTTTGTGGTACAGGGGCTGAATAAGGTTGTGGCACTAACCACATGCAAAGAATATTACTGTACATGGTTTGCTTCTTTTTCTTTCTGCCTTGATGCTGAACTTACTTTGTAATAGGATGTTTGTAGAGGTACACTACAGCATTATGAAGCAGGACACTGTCATAAGTAATCTGTTCAGTTCATAAATGGAATGTATTTAATTTGTGAAGGTTTGTGTCATTTTCTAGTTGCAAAAAATTTGTAACTTTCTGACAGTGAGAAGACATAAATATCTATATAGAGAAATTCACGTGCACACACCCACCCCATCAGACTACATTACTGAATAGGAATACATGTTCTTACAGGTTTGTAGATAGATTCCAGTTATTATTAATCCCTTCAGGGTAGTGGGTATCCAGTTCTTAGTTTCTCTTTGCATTCATTTAATAGGACTTTAGTTGCTGCTGTTGAAATACATCTCTTTGTGGAAATCTAGAGCAGCATTTACCACTGGGTAAAAAACTGGCTGGAGGGCTGGGCCCAAAGAGTTGTGGTGAATGGAGTTAAATCCAGTTGGCAGCCGGTCGCACGTGGTGGTCCCCAGGGCTCACTACTGGGGCCTGTTCTCTTTAATATCTTTATCAATGACCTGGATGAGGGGATCGAGTGCACCCTCAGTGAGTTTGCAGATGACACCAAGCTGGGCAGGAGTGTTGATCTGCCTGAGGGTAGGAAGGCTCTGGAGAGGGATCTGCACTGGGTGGATTGATGGACCAAGGCCAATGGTATGAGGTTCAACAAGGCCAAGTGCTGGGTCCTGCACTTGGGTCACAACAACTCCATGCAGCACTACAGGTTTGGGGAAGAGTGCCTGGAAAGCTGCCTGGTGGAAAAGGACCTGGAGGTGTTGGTCGACAGCCAGCCAGATGTGAGCCAGCAGTGTGCCCAGGTGGCCAAGAAGGCCAACAGCATGCTGGCTTGTATCAAAAGTAGTGTGGCCAGCAGGACTAGGGAAGCGATCATCGCGCTGTACTTGGCACTAGTGAGGCTGCATCTCAAATACTGTGTTCAGTTTTTGGCCCCTCACTACAAGAAAGACATTGAGGTGCTGGAGCATGTCCAGAGAAGGGCAACAAAGCTGGTGAGGGGGCTGGAGCACAAGTCTTACTAGGAGCGACTTAGGGAACTGGGGTTGTTTAGTCTGAAGCAAAGGAGGCTGAGGGGAGACCTTCTAGCTCTCTGCAACTACCTGAAAGGAGGTTGTAGTGCAGTGGGGGTCGGTCTCTTCTCCCAAGTAACAATCGATAGGTTAGGAAGAAACAGCCTCGAGTTGCGTGAGGGGAGGTTTAGGTTGGCTGTTAGGAAAATTTTCTTCACCAAAAGGGTTGACAAGCACTGAGATAGGCTGCCCAGGGATGTGGCCGAGTCACCATCCCTGGAGGTATTTAAAAGATGTGGACATGGTGCTTAGGGACATGGTTTAGTGGTGGACTTGGTAGTGTTAGGTTAACAGTTGGACTCAATCTTAAAAGTGTTTTCCAACCTAAATTATTCTGTGATGGGTGCACAGATCCTCTGGCAGTTGTTCAGCAATGGAAAAGATTTTGTGGAGGTAATTTCATCTTGTAAGGACCTGCATCTGGTTTTGCCCTAAGGTTTTTCTTTTAGCTACTCAGTAATGATAATCCAATTGCAGAGCCTTAGATTCCATGTCTGTATCTTGATAGACCCTTAGAAGCTGGTAGATGCAAATATGGCTTGAAAGTTAGCTTGGATTAAGGTACAGTGCGAATTTAAAATCTGATCCTACCTTTACACATCAGCATCTTGCTTGATCTAGTTTGGCTTGCTTTAAAGTGGTCTGCTAGAACACTGAAAGAGCAAGGATGGAAAAAGTTTTTGCATCATTTAGGTTTAATCAAAACCAGAAGCTGACAAATGCTCTTGACTGCAAGTTGTGGGCTGTACTCTGTGTTCCATAAAAAGATCTGAATCCCACGCAACGGTTTCCCAAATATGAACTAAACAAGCCAAGTCTTCTAGTCTGCAGCAAGAGCTAGGCTTCTGAACACCAAGGTGATTGTCCAGCCCCAATAAAGATATAATTCTTTCTCTTTCTGAAAAGTGCAATCAAGATCTCAAGATGCCTACTTACATGGGAAGTTCCTGAGATGGCTTTCCTGTGCCTCCCTAATGTTTGTTTTGTGAATTAATGAAGTTAACTGTGAAGACATTTTTAACAGAGGCTGAGCTATGAATTCAAACTATTTGGGGGCAGAGTGTTCCATGAATCGTGATTACTGTTTGTTCAGTGTTGTCTTACAACTCCTATTCTGCGAAGATGCTGTAATAGACATTGTAGGGCTTTTTAAAACCAGACCATTTCAGAGTCTGTCTTCTAGCTCATGGGGAACTGACTACTCATTTGTGAAAGCTGAGCTGACTATTGGGCAGCTACATCCTTGAACTAAGTTTGCATTAAGTTGCTTATTTTCAAATTTATAAGTAAAGCCAAGTTTTCCTGTGCTGAATTTAGTAGTATCTGATCATTGTTACCAGTCTGTTCTAGCTGTTCTTTTTTTCCATAAATGACTGATGAAGAACAAAGGAAGTTCTGTCTGCATGGGGACTCTGTCCGTTGCTCACTCATTGCTGCAGAAATGAAAATCATTATTGAGATGTGGTGTTTGCTGCTGCCCCCAAGATGGCAGTACAGCATGTCACATAAGAATGCGTTTTGTTGTGAATACAGGAATATAGGGTCTGCAAGCAGTATCATGTATTAGTCAAGTAAAATGCTTGTGTGCTTGTACTTTTATTTTTTTCCTTACTAGATCAGTTTGTCTTCTGGTCCAATAAAAGAAGTTATTTCTCCCTACAAACTCTGCTGCATCAGTATTGATTTCTTGGACTGGAAGCATTCTGTCAGACTGCTGCTTTGTGGTGTTCGCCCTGAACTGATGAAAACCATACATATTTTGATCCTTTGGGTGTTATGCTTCTGAAGAAGAATAAGCACGTCTATACACACAGTATTAGAAAAGGCAGAATTTTTGAGGTGAAAGTGGTTTAGAGAAAAATTAAATTATTGAGTTCAGCTTAAGGCACTTGTTTTACTGAAGGTTCTGAACCTTAGCATATGCCTAGAAAGTGGTGTTTGATACAGTATGATTCATCTGGCTCCTCCATTGAAACCTCCTTCTTTCTGCTTGTCCCTCACTGGGTGTAGGGTATCTGGCCTGAAGTGATCGTTACCTCTTCTATTTCACTGTGTAATACTTTGAGCTTCATGTTGTCTGAAATACACATTTGCTCACTGAGCTTTTCTGCTATAGTAAATTTGCAGTGCTCATTATGGAGCTACTGCTGCAATCAGCATGCATTCAGATGTGTTTGCTTCATGATGGTCACAGGTAAGAAGCTGTTACCCTACAACGTGAAGCTGGAAGTAGTCACATATGTGAATTTGGCAGAGTCCCACTGAAGGTAACGGGCTATTTGCAAAAGTGAAACAACAGAACTGTTTTGTAGAGGTGTGAGGTTACAGCAGTACCACTGAGTTTTGTGGATTCTGAAAGAGTATCCCAGGCCTCAAGATCTGGTCACTAGCATTTGCTAATTATCATAATCCAATTACTTGACTAGAGGGGATTTTGGAGGAGGGAAATAGTATTTTTTTGTAAAACTTTGTTGTATTAATTGCCCTCCGTTGTATTGTTACAAGTGTATTATTCACACTAGAATATCTGTTTCATCATATCACTGGGATGTCTTAGTTCAGATCAATCTCATATGCAACATATAATTACAGGTATGACGCAGGAAGGCCTCTTCAGGGTAAATGGCAGCATGAAAATGGTAGAACAGTTGCGTCTGCAGTATGAGCGTGGAGAAGAGGTGGAACTTGTTAAAGATGGTGATGTGTACTCAGCAGCCAGTCTGTTGAAATTATTTTTGAGAGAGTTACCAGATGGGATTATCACCTCTGCCTTACATCCCAGGTTCATTCAGCTTTACCAGGGTAAGTGAGAGGTAAAATCTCCATCCTTCAACACTCTTTCTTTCTGGATAATTGGTTATGCAGTGAGCATAACCAATACTCTCTTAGTTTACCTACTTTGTTCTGCGTTTTCTTTGACTTTAACTCTCACCTGCTCCCAGAGTGCTCACAGATGTGCTATTCTGTTAAAAGAGACAGAAAATTCTTTCGTATGTGTTTGGTAAAGTCTGGGCTATTTCTCATTTTCTAATCCAGTTATATTTGCTGAATATAAACTGAAACAATCAGCTGGTTTCTTTGAGCAAGCTTGTAGACAATAGCTACAGTCTTGTTAGGACACAGATTTGCTTCTGTTTTGCTAGGGTGATTTCTGGCAATTTCATTCTAATGGACTCTGAAAAAGTTGTAACGACTTCATCTACTAACCAAATTGAACATCCATTGGGCTCAAACCATACATTGTCTAAGTTTCTACTTCTCACTAAGTAATGTGCTTGTCCATCAAAAAATGAGCCAGTTTGTAAGGTAACAGCAGACTATGTTTTATTCCCCGTCACAGTGCACAATGTCGAAGACTTCTTTTTTCTTTCTTTTTTTTTTTTTCCCCCCTTGAAGTGGTGGATCAACCATCAGAAATAACATCACTTCTGCTTTAGAAACTTGCACAGCTGTCTGTCAAATGATTTCTTAATCTAATTCATCTGTATCAGTGTGTGGTGGTGTTATGTGGAATAGGTGCTGGTTGGCCCTGTTCCTTGACCATGTGGGTCATTGGCAGTTCTCTGGCTGCAGGCAGTTGATGCCTCTTCTTGCTGCCTTCCTAAGAAGCTGCAAAGTGAGTGGGTAAATGTTACTACAGATGTGCTTTTTTTCAGTAAAGCAGGCAAATGTGATGCATGATGCAGAGGAAGAATGTGTGCTCTGATGTGCATGCACAGTGGAAGGCGGTGCAAAGTTCTCACACTCTTGTTGTGAGGTCTCCCTTCTGCTTTTCCTGCCTGCAGTGGAGATGAAGTTTAGTCATTGCCTGGAAGAGGGAGGACACAACCATGTCTTTTCTTTCTTTCTTGTTTGGGGCTCTACAGACTGTTGAGGGTGCACTAGAGAAGAGCTCTGTGCCTTCCTGTGAGTGCAGGCATTTCAGCTTTAATCAGGTTGCATGTGGGCTGTGTAAAATACCTTCCTTATTTAGCGAAGCTTTCTAGGGCCGAAGTATAGGGTGTAGGAAGGTGCCGTTGTTTTAGAAAGTGCCTTTTTTCTGGTCATAGCTGTGCTTTCTTTTGGGTCTTTTAGTTTTTACCAGGTCTGACTCATGAGCTGTATTTAATTATGTTCTTTCTCGTAAATCAGTGTTTCAGTGAAAATTTGTTTAAGTCGTGCCTTCCCTGTTCTACATCCCTGTCCCCACAAACGTCATACTGGTGTATTGCACCAGGTACTACTGATGTACTTCGTGAACAGTGCTGTTTGTGGAAAGTTTCATTCTTGCTTCCCACAGGAAATGCAAAATCCTCCCAGTACTTTCTATGGAAATGAGCTAGTTATCCTTACTTAGCAGATTTACCCACCAAGCTTTTTCTGCAAGAGTCAGTCTGTCTGTGATGTGTCTTCATCGCGAAGTTTGCCTGTATTGCAAAATAAGCTCCAGTTATAGTCCCATTATAATTTTGACTAGGAGAAAAAAAAATCTTATTTGAAAAATGCCAGATTGGCTGTTATGGCAGGGGGAGGCTTTTGTAAAGTTTGGAGAAAACTGAGGGTTTTTTCATGCCCCAGAAAATATAGCATGTATGAGTTACTATGAAAGGCACTGATGACTTTCATTGGGTTCAGATTAGTTTAAGTGGTAGATGGGCCTTTGTTTACAGTTAAATGATCAACCACCTATGCAGGATTAGAGGAGTTATCTATTCACTTATCAAAGTATGTACAAGGGTAGTTGTTGCAAAATGGTACCAAGAGGGGTGCGTGCATGGGTGTTCTTTCTGTAAACTATGAAGAAAGTAGGTCAAGCTCTTTCTGAGCCAACAGGTTATTAAAAAATAACTTTGAATCTGGAGCCACTTCGCTGCATGTCTACAGTGAAGGCAATTACAAGCTCTGTTACAACCTCTGTATTCCCTTCTGTTGAAGCTTTGCATGGGAAATGTTTTTTTGGGATTATGTTTGAGTTCCTTTGGAATATTTTCAGGGATTGGTATCAGCACTTTTTTAAGTCAGCTGAGATCTTGGCCTGAGAATAACACAAAATTACTTTAGTACCTGTAAAAATTGTTAGGGAGTGATTACTGTAGTTAATAATAGCTGGACCGAAAATTACAAATTTTACTTGTGGCTGTAACCCATTTTAATTCCGGGTATAGTCTTTGTTACCAAACCAAAGAGTAAATAATCTGCCCTTTATGAAAAAGCGGGAACCTGACCCATTGGTAGTTCAGGAAGTCCACGCAGCTGGTTTGGCATGCTGTCTGCAGCCTGTGCAATGTCGCGTGAAACGGAGCTCTGCACACTGTCCCCAAATCCTGAGTCATTGCTGTTTATATAAATATTCAGCGTAATGCCAAGACTATTCAGTTCCAGAAAACATCACGTAGCGTATCCTAAAGGCCATTTGGTGTATCCGGACGTTCTTTCTCTGCCCTTGGAGAAGGGCAGTAGCAGTGGGAGCTGAGAAAAGCCTCCCTCTGTAAATGATGTTGATCAGAGATGTGTGTAACAAGTGCAGGCCAAGGACATACTGATAGTGATCTTTGTGTTGGCTGGTCTCCTCAGAGCGCCTGACAAATATGAAGGCTGCTCCTTGCAGGGAGTCCTGGAGTAAAAAATGTTCATCACGATCTCTTCTGTGACTGAGGCTTCACTGCAGAGCAGAGCTGTGACTGCCCGTACAGAATGGGCCGTGCTTACAGAGCAGTGAAAGTTTCTTTCAGAAATGTCAGCTGGCAGAAATCAGTAGCTCCCATGCAGCAATCCCTGCTTGAGCTTGTTTATTCCTTTTGGCTTTTAATTCCTTATCTTTTATATCATGATCACTGACTCTTAAAAAATTTGTACATATGAGGAACTGTATGCACAGTTCTTACCCCCTTTCACGGGTCGCTTGCTTTCAGCAAGACAGGTTGCTATTGTACTTTTCCTTTATAGCATACAGAAAGCTTTTCCCTTATGTGAATTTCTTTTTTGTCCTTGTTGTTGCATTCCCTCCTCCAGCAGGGGTACAATGAAATGTGTGCCCTTTTCTTTGTTTGGTACTCAGTCTAATTAAGTTAAACGCTATTTGATCACTCTGGCTTCTTGATACTGCTCCATCCTGGAGAATTTATGTTTTTCAGTGGGCAGCAGCCATCTCACATACCTCCTCCTGCTCACAGCCTGCCATGGCTGGCAAGGTTTTGTCTGGTGCCCATGAGCAGCCCTGCTGGTTTCTGGGAGAGGGATGGGAGGTGGCAGAAGGAAACTCCCTCACAGGTAGCTCCTGCCTGGATCAACAGGTCACTTTTGGGAACTCTTAGTAACCAGGAGCTGTTTGAGTTATATGAACAAGTAGAACCAAAAATATAGGTTGTGTTGGGGGATTCTAGAGGTCACATTTCAACCTGAACAGTGACTGTGGAAATGAATAAATGAGTGTGAAAGTGAATAGAAGAGAACTGACCTTTTAACCATGGTAACTGCAGCAGTGCAGCAAATCAGATTCACTAGATGTCTGTGGTTCTCCAGGCTCTTGTGACGTGATTTTAACCTTTTCCTTTGGCTTTTATTGTCATTTTGCTGTTATCGAGACTAGTTTCAAACTAGAGAAATGACTTCTCTTTTCCACATGTTTGTTATGCAGTAAAAACTCTTGGAACTGGATTTCTTATGCAGATGATGACACTCGGCAGAGCCGCAAAAGAAGCGAGAGTGCTCTGCTCCCAATACGTAGGAATGAAGCATAAATATAGTGCTGCGAAGTGCCATAATGATGCAGAGCAAGGGGTCTCAAGTTGGATTGTGATGACAACCTTCTTATGATGAGGACTTCCAGCATTTCTGCTACTGATGGCAACAAGGCAGGATTATTATTTTTTTTTCTCTGTGGCAGGATCGTGTCTGAAACAAACTGCTTCTTGGCAGAGAGAGGCTGAAGTCCCACTTCTTGTAGATGTGGAGGTGGAAAGAAATGCTTTGATTCCTCCAACAGCCTGGTGGGTGCAGTGGTACTGCAATGTACAACCTGTTGCCTGTGTGCCGAAAATTAACTTCCTAGGGCACGTTGATAGCTACAAACAGATGCAAGCTTTTATGTCTGCTCTCCAATCTGGTAGTATGCAAGGCAGCTAAAAGCTATGCAGACGTGGTAGCATGACACTAAGTCCTAGAATCTCTTCCTCGCCTCACAGCAGAGATAATTAGCTAGGGGAAGGCTCCACATTGGTACGGTTTCAGTGCTTCCAGGCTGGAGTTGTTTGGGGTCAGACCACTTGAGACATGAGCAAAGCAATTACACACACCTGTCTGCAGGCATCTGTACCTTCAGTGATGTTCAGGCAGCGTGCTCTGCAGGGGGAAGGAGTAGCATGAAGAGGGATGGATTGGGGAATTAGATCGTGTCTGTAGCGTGTCAAAGAAACTCAATATGTTCAGAAATAGGATGAACCATTGGAAAACATGCCCCTCTTGTTGTGATCTGTGGGTGTATACTGAAATTAAATGAGACTGAAAACACCCTTGAAATGCATCTGTGCCTCCTACGGTGTTGAGGCTCCTGTTTCTAGTTAATTAACATTTTTAGAGAGACTGCCTCTCCTTTTGAATTGTCTCCTTGACTTGTCCCTTAGTAGTGAGTCCCTAGTTCAGCTTTGAGGTGCCACACTGCCCTTGCTGTCTTCCTTGGCCCTCTTCCACGCTGTGTTCTGTGTCCTCTGGCTGCTGAGCCTAGACGTGGCCTGAGGCTGCTGGTTTTGTTCCCTTCCTCAGCCCAGAAGCCACCATCTCATCCCTGATTTCAAGCCCCTCTTGGCTGCTTATCTAGCTAGGCTTCTCTTGCCGACCTCTGCTGGGGTGCCATCTGCTTCACATGGCTTCTGGCAGGCTCCCAAAATAAAAAAGTGAATGCTTTTGACTCTGCCTTGAGAGCACCTTTCCCGTAGCCTTCATTCTTCTTTTACTCCTTTCTCCTTCTGTCTGGTGTATTGGGCAAATTTTCAAAAGAGCTTTATGTGCTGTGCTTGAAAATCATGAGTGTGTTGGTAGGTGGGCATATCTGGAAATACGACTTGAATTTAGGTTCCTGAATTGCCTTTGAAAATCTGGCACTCTGCTGTTTCCACTATTGACAAGCTCATGTGTCTTGTCTCAGGATGCTGCAGAGACTAAAGCATCTGCTTAGATTCATGTCACCCTCTTTAATATGACTGAATAAGAAAGGCTGTACTTGGTAGGCTTGTCATTCACAAAATTAGGCATGTACATAAGCTCAGGGCTTTGGTACACTTGATGTTTGTCTGCATGGTCGCATAAACAGCTCTGGCGCTCTAGCATTTCTCTGATAGTCAGTACCAGCTGAGTAAGCCTTAGTGACTGACTTTGAAGCAAACTGAAAAAATGTGTAGCAGGTGGGCAAAAGGAGGAGGAATACTCCAAGCAATTGGTTGTCATGACTCAAGACTGGTTTTGCTCTATAATAAGTTGAAAAGCTGTTTTATTTGAAGCAATATGGTCATGGATAGCAGAGGTACACTTGTCCTGGAAAATGTACAGTGCGTGGAATACTGTGTACACATGTCAGTTTCCAAATTCACCATGAATTGTAATAGTAATTTTTAAAAATAAAGGTGAAATCCATGAAATGTGTCAGCAGCAGGAGAATTAACAAATTAGTTTTGACTTTCTGATTGTATTGGGAGAAAGGCTTGAGTTCCTTCCCTTGGTTTTTCACTGGAAAAGGAGGAGAGAGAGGAAAGCTGTATTTTCTTTCTCCCGTTTCACAATGACAAGGAATTTCATGGCTCAGTAAATGAGGTTTGCTGCCTCGTGTTTTCAGTGTCTCTGTGTCCTTTAATTAGGGTAATTTCTCAAGATCTTACGATCTGATATCTGTCTCTGTTCTTGAAAGTACAAAAATGAACAAAGGTTTGGCTGTGCCCAGCGATAAGCATCTCTAATGTTGATCCACACTACATAATATATCATGGTTAATGAACAGGGACATCCTGCCCACCAAATACAACTGATGCCATGAGGCCAATAGGTTTGTTTGTTGTCAGAGTGCAAACCTGTGTTCGGAATGTTTTGTGGCAGTTATTAGCATCTTTCTAGTTTGGAAGGGATGGAGAATCCTTCAGTAAATGGAAAAGTACCTGTCAATCTAAAGCCCCACTGGGAGGCGCAGAGAGGCAATTAGTTCTCAAGGGCATTCCCTAATTAGGTGGTGGAGTGATGGTGGTGGAAGAGGTGTGGTTTTTTTCTGAGATGGCTTTGGCTTTCCTTATCATAACTGCAAGCAATTTGTAGTGGAAAATAGTATGTGCTAGTTATTTTGTTATCTGAAGAGAACTATGTTAGGAGGTGAATTTTAATGATCTGGCTATGTGGAAATTAGTTGTGTTTTGTTTTTCCTTAAGCTTCATGAAAAGATAATTAGTAATTAAGGCAGAGACTGTCCAGTCTGCTTTCATCAGTGCAAATACAAATCCAATTAAATTCCGTATTGTTATTCCATTTAATACAGGCTTCAGAAACATCCTGAAATTCTGCAGTAGAAATAAAAATAATGAATCAGATTTCTTATTGTTACCAAACTGATTCATAGTAGCAAAGTCATAATTGTTTTTATTCTGTATAGCTCTAAAAAATTTCGAGAGAAGTACTAATGATAAATAAGCAAATACATTTTTTGCTCATGCTTCATGCATATTTGATATTTGGCTTTTCTGAAGGAGTTAATTTCTTAGCTATGGAAGAAAAGGATATAATCAATCAGTTGGTTGAAATGTTTGGTCCTGTAATTTGACTGGCATTTTAAACTTTGGCCTGCTGTCATGAAAGAATTCATATTAAGTCTGTGGTACCAAAACGGATACATAAAATGAATTCTCCATGCGTATAAAAATGAATTATCCATGCGTACAAAAAAGGCTTCTCTCACCAGGTACTGTATTATGCATGTCATATAAGGCAGGAAACTTAAGCTTGGAAGCAGATGAAATGCCACAAGTTCAACTGTATGAAGTGGCAAGTATGTACCTACAAAACTTGTTTGTTTCCCAAACTACATGTGGGATAAATCTCATTTATTAGCCACAAAAATGTCTGGTTGTAGAACAGAAATCATATTGCAACTTAATGGTTGAGTTCTCAGGACTCACTTTCAGATATTTTTATACAGCTTCTACTTAATTGCGTTTTGCTTCTGGAATTGAACTCAAAACCTCCAAAATTATTTGCTCCCTTCCTCCACGCCCAAAACACTTTCCAAAAAGTAATTTGTACCCACCAAAATCTTGGGTTTACATATTGATAAAAGCAAAATTTTGAAAACATTTGTGTGTGTGTGAGGCCAAGCTTGCGTTCACTGCCTGGGTCTGTATAAACACATTATACAGACTGCTGATTTACACAGCTAACCACTTTTCAAGCACTCTACCCATGCGATACTGAGCAATCCAGCCCCAGAAAATTTCTAGGAAATGAAAAGTAAAAGTGAAGAATAAACTTCTGAAGCATTTGTACATATCTTACGCTGTGTTCAAAGCACCTCCCTTTTGCCTCCCTGAAATGTTAGGCAAATGTAAAATGTTCTTTGTTCCTACAACAAAAGGCATCGGATGTTTTCCTGCCAGTCTTCTCTGCATGCTGATAGCAGGGCATACAGCAGAGGCAGCAACTAGTTGCTGAACTATTTCAGGTGCAGCCTGTTTTATTACATCTTCTTGACTAAAAATGAGTCTCGAAGACTGAGCAAGGCTAGGTTTTGACTGAATGGCTGGGTGAATCTCCTTGCTAAGGATCGTATCATCCGCTGAATGAAAAAATACCTCGTTACCCTAAGCATGGGGAGGATGTCTGTATTCCCATGGTAAGCCAGCAGCTACTTTGGGACCAGGCAATCTGTTACAGAGAGCACAGAGGGTTAGCATTTAGTGTGAGCTGACTTTGGCTTTGTAGAATAAAGACATCCTTCCAACCCCTATAACTGTTTTGTGTGCATCTCTAAGGAAAAATCAGTTACCCAACAACAGTCTTACAACATTAACACCATCAACCTATAAGGCCGAGAAAGAAGGAAAGTACTGTAAATGCACAGCTGCCCTCATGTTAATGGACACTGCTTATGGTTAGACTGGTGAGGAAAACCTTTAGGGCCTGAGGTCTTCTGTCTGAAAATGCTGTTGCACAAAAACTGAAGAACTCTGTGTATGGGAGAGTTTCAGTGAAATTTCATTTTGATGGGGAGTAGAAATGAATATTTCCAAGTGTTAAGGCATCCTGTTTTGGCATAAAGGGAAGGAAATACTGAATTGTTTTCAAAATTTTGCTTTTATCAATATGTAAACCCAAGATTTTGGTGGGTACAAATTACTTTTTGGAAAGTGTTTTGGGCGTGGAGGAAGGGAGCAAATAATTTTGGAGGTTTTGAGTTCAATTCCAGAAGCAAAACACAATTAAGTAGAAGCTGTGTGTGAGGCCAAGCTTGCATTCACTGCCTGGGTCTGTATAAACACAGCATCTGTGAAGTTCATGCAATTTTTGCTTAAAAGCAAACCAAAAAACCAAAACGACAAAAGCCTGCGTGAAAGAAAATTTACCTTAGTCATTCTTTGATATTACTCAGTTCATTATGGGAAACTTTTATCCATACTGAAATTCTAGAAGACTGTACAGTATAACAAGGCTATTCTCTAACATTATGCCAAGTTTTGGCTCATTATGGAGTGTAACACTGCCCTGAACAGCCTTTTTTCCCTAAGCAGGACTCCTCACCTAAGACTTAGTACACAGTTGTCACTCTGAAAAAAGATACAAAAATGAGCTTTTCATAAAATGTGCCCACAGAAACAGTACTGTTATTCTAACAACACCTGTGTTTCAGGAGACTCTTTGTTTTATTGTTCTTGCTTTCCTCTTTTTGAAGGTTTTCATGAGAGGAAACTAAAACAGAGTATGAGATGGGGTTTGGGAAGCAGAGATAATATCCAGAAGAAGCATGGAAGCAGGAGATCTGGTAGAGCTAGAGTTAAAGCAGGTATGGCTATGGACTGAGTGGGAGTAAACATGTTCCAATGTTGTTAGCTGTGGCCACTGCTGATTCTGCTCAGGAAAACGGTTACAACATAAAGGTGTGCATGAAACAGTGCCAGTGGTGGCGAAGGTGAGCCTGAGGAGAAAGCTGCAGATTCCCTGAAGAAAATTGAGGGGTTTGGAGGATTCTGTGTCTCTGAAGAGAAATAGGACTAAATTGTAGATACTGTTGCTTGCTCACCCACGTAAGTAAATTGGCAGCAATGTAGAAAACCATGTACGTATGTTTTTTTTCTTCTCTTGTTTTTCCTAGACACTAGAAACGACATGCAGAAGGAAAGTAACTTGAAAGAACTCCTTAAAGAACTGCCTGATGCTCATTACTGCCTGCTGAAGTATCTGTGCCAGTTCCTGGTAAAGGTTGCTGAACATCATGTAGAGAACAGGATGAACCTTTGCAATCTTGCCACTGTATTTGGACCAAACTGCTTTCAGTAAGTTGGGGTTTTCACTTTTCTTCGTGTGTTGACGGAGAGTGTAATGGAGCAGATGGCCAGAAATGTAGCTCAGGACCCTAATTTGTTAGAGTGATCAAACAGAGGCAATGACTAGGGCTTTGTGATAAATTTTACTGCTAAAGCTATTGTTTGAGCTGAACGGGATTTGATTTACTCTCCCATCTCCTCTCACTGTTTTCCCGAACAGTTGGTCAGTTTTCTATTGCTGTGTTGACAGCAGAGCAGGAGTATAATAATGAAAGGCCTTCAAACTGTGGAAGTGCAAGGAAACTTGTGCTCATACGGCTTTCTTCCTTTGCCATTAGATAATATGGATGTTTCTCTGCAGAAGGCTTTGAGAAAGTGTACATGGGGGAGAAGGACTCCTGTGCAGCACCCAGGTGCTGTATAATTTCTAGACATGGATACGGCATACCTTCTGCCAATTTACCTTGTGATCTGGTGTCTGTCCTTAAGATGCTGATGATTCTGGGCTCTTTATCCTTCCGGTATATTTAGAAACTGGTCTGGAGGTTAGGGGGTTCCACTGGTCTCTTAAGTCTTGTTACTGGACTCACTAGTTCTGCAAGTTTATTTCATTGGGCCCAGTTTCTTAGCGCTGGTGGTAAAGACAACATGTTGTACATTCTAGTGGAGCTTGCAGCAGTAGCCAGAAGAGTTATTTCCAGGTGTGAGAACACACTTGAGTAAGAATGTTTTTGTTGAGTTGCTGCATCTTCACCCCAGTCTTGTCTATAATACACCCACTGGTTGGCATCCAAGATCTGAGACACAGGAGACATGTAGGGAGTTTAGTTCAGTCATCAGTCTTGAAAGATGTGTGATATCAGCAAAAAGAGACAAGTGAGTTTCTTGCTACAAATGTCGGATTTGTATTGATCCTTTTAAAATTTTGCTCCGGAATAATACTGATAATAATACTAATAATACTAAGCCTAATGAGATTTAGATTAGATTAATTGCCTAATGAGGCTATCTCCCTAGGCTTCCTCTGTAGCCAGTGGAAAGAGGTAGACTTCTTTAAACAGAGAAAACATGACTTAGGTTCCTTCTAATCTATTGAGCCAGTTCCATATACCTAGGCGAGATGCTGCCTGCTCTTTTTTTAAGGGAAATATCTTTTTCCGTTGATTAGGGAGAGGGCACGTGGAGATGAGACATTTAAACTAAAGCTTGTCCTTGTGACTACACTGCTGCCTTGTCTTAAGATGTTGCTCATGAATGATGAAGGTGAATATGTCAGGATTCAAGCATTTGCTGTGTTAGTACAAAAGGATAAAGCGTATTTTGAAAACAATTGTCTTCCTCTCCAAAGGAAAGAAAATTCAGAAGACAGTAGTGTGTGCAGGAGCACATGAATACGAGAGTTAGTGGAAGCACAATACAGCAAATTTCCGATGAGGAAAAGCAAAACAGTTTTTAAAGATTACATTTCTATGGGCAGTTTGGGGATTTCTGTGTAAATGTATTAGTAGAGTTAAGAACAAATGAAATAAATTTTCAATTTAGTCCAATGGCTAAATCTCTATGACTCAAAGTCCCAAGCAGCTATTAGAATAATTTTTAGTTTACTCATCACTTCATTCAGGAAAGTTTAAAAATTAGCTTTGCATAGTTATTGGTGTAGAATGGAGAGTTGCATTTTGGAATTGCAATTGGCATTCCTAAGATTAAACCAAAGCATACTTCTTAAAAGCTGCATAGTTGTTGCCTCAACTGATCTCTGCTCCTAAGATGGCATAGAAAAGATGTAATAATTTTTTAAGGTGTAGGGCCTGCGTGCAAATGGGGCATAATTGTAAATTGTATCATTCCATTGCAGAATACTGAGAAAGGCAGAGTTCAGTGAAGGTGAAAACACAAGGGCTCTTGTGGCTGCGTACAAATGCAGCCAGCCCTGCATTTGTGACACACGTTGAAATAAATGCTCATGTAGTGAAAGAGGCAGTGAAAGCAAGGCTTAACACTTAAAAATGGCTAATGCGTTTTTTAGAAGACCCAAATATGTTGGGATTATGGATGTAGATTTTTATTTAAACCAAGTTTCACCATCAGATAACTCAGCTGTGTGTTTCATCAGGTCTTGGTCTTTTCAAGGTAGCTTCAGGATTGTGGTCCAGACACAAAGTTTGTAAGCAACAGTTCAAATACTTTCTCCTGTGTTAATGGATGCAGTTTTAAATTGCTGGAACTGTGACCATCTGCATCAACAAAGGTTTGATAGGAAGAGGTGTCACGGTCCACTCCTTGGTGGACCATGATGGTTCATTTCAGCTGTGATCCCGAAGTGCAAAAAGAAATGGCATCAAGCCCAGGGAGTTATGCTTTCAACACACAATTACTTTAATGGTTCTGCCCATAAAGCATAGGCATGCGATAGAAAGGAAGAATAATAGGAAAGATGAGGTTAAAAAGGAGGGAAAACCACGGGTCCACAGGCGTCCTTATGGTCCCGAATCCAGAAGGCATTCTGCTGCTGCTTCTTCAACCGTCATGGTCTTTTGGTGGGGAAGATCTTCAAAGTTCAGTTACTGAGGAACCATCTTTTATGCTAGGTAGCACACCTTGCTCCTCCTTGGACCCACCTCCACTCCACCTCTGTCCTGTGGAAATGTGCCAAACTCCGCCTGTCTGGAGTAAGGCTTCCATGCGTGCCCAGAGAGGAGCGTCTGAGGCATGGTCAGCTTTGGAGGCGGGTAACTTCTTACCAGGAGGTGTGATTTTATATTATAATGACATTATAATGAGGAAAGTTCAACTGATGTTTGAGATTTCTTCATCAGTGTTGGCACAGTCAGTGCGATCCATCTTCTTTGACAGCAGTTAGGTGGTTTTCTTTGCTTTGCTGCTCCAGTAAAATAGACTTGTACCAGGTAACGACACTGTTCATACTTTCGTACCACAATAACGACACCATTCATACCTTTGTACCATGGTGACGACACTGTTCATACCTCAGTCCTTTCTTCAGGGTTTCCACATCTGATAACAGCCAGCTCAGCGAACCACTGCAAACTCATGTCAAGACGTTAGTCCAGGTTTTGGGGCCTAGTTGCTGATGACAATGTTGAGACAATACCGGTCTTCTGATCGACTCTTACAGGAGGAAAGAACTCACAGCAGTGAACTTGAGGCATTTGGCTTAGCCAGCTGGTTGGCCAAGCAGCCAGAGAGATCCTCAGGATGCAATTCAGAGCTCTGGAGGAAGGCTGCCTGAAGCCTGCTTGACAAGGGCTGTCTTACTACTGGCGACAGGCAGCCCCTAGAGAGACTAGCTGCAGAAATTAAATATCAGCAGGTAGTTGAAGCAAACACTCCTCTCTTTTGGAATTGTTTGTTCAGAGCAGCTCATGGGTGTTTCTCTGGAACGAGAAAAGAAGGCTTAGTGTCCAGCCTGTCAGCAATTACACTGCTGAGGCAGGAAGATCTGAGATTTTTCTGTCAGAAATTCAGACTCATGTCTAAAATCAGTGTCAGAGTCTATGTAGTTGATGCACAGTGTCAAAGAAAATAAAGCTGATCTGATTATACCTTCTACAAGGTATTTTTAGTGATGTTTTAGATATTTGAACATATTATCTCCTACTCTATAACTGAAGCTGTTTAACAATTGAATAAATCTCAATGTTGGGCCACTTTCCAGACATTTAGACTTAATTTTAATTCTCTTCATCTTATTCTATTTTTCTACATCATGTTCTCAGTAAGTTATGTCATCTCCTAAACTTTCAACCCTTATGACTTTTATCTTATCCACTACTTCCCTTGCTTCTTTACTTGCTGTTTGACAAACTGCACTGGTGCTTTTCTAGTGAAAGGTTATCTTGTGCTTTCTGTATTTCTGATTAGTAGAAGAGGGGAGAAAACGACTATTTGCATTCTTTGTAATGAAGTGTGATGTAAGAGGTAGGAAAATGCAAAGGGCAAGGTCAAACAGCTCAAAAAAGGAAAATGTGATGGTTTAAGATTTAGAGCACTGTTTTCTTCCAATTTGGATTGTTCTGATTTATTGTGGTGGAAACCAAAGGTCAAGTACACAGAGAAATACAGCCCTTGGGGACCAATGAGCATGAAGGTATAAGAACATAAATAGTTGTCTTTTCTGTCACTGAGTGTTCTGTGTGGAGTATTAACACTTGCGTGGTTACTTGTGGAGGAAGTTATTGTCCATTGACCTGAATTTCAGGTACTGTAGAGCTGTAGCCTTAGTTATGGCCTGCTGCGTGTTTCCGCTCTGCTCTCACAGCTTATGCTGAAGAAGGAGGAGAGGACCAACTGGGTTTTCTGTCCTCCTCTCTGCTCTCTTGGAGCTGGGTGTCAGAGGGGCTGCTGTATTCATCCTGTCCTTTGGTTGGAATGGTTAGAGATGTGAGGTCTACCATGTACAGAGTAAGCAGAGGATCCATTCGCACACTTTTTTGCAGCTCTGTCTCAAAGTATGATATGGGTGTGTGGCCTCCATCGTTCAAGCCCTTACTAACCTGACTGTATTCCTACAGGGATTAAGCTTGTCGTGAGGGATTGCTCCATGCCCCTAAAAGTGGCTGGCAAATGCAGGTATCCAGTTGAAATGCTAGTTAGATGCAGTTATTTCTGTATAATGACTACGTAACAGAAGTTACCTGAAGGGTTGTACAAGAAAGCATTAGGTATGAAAAGATAGATTGTCTTTAGGTATGAAGAAGATGTAGATTCTCTGTAGGGTAGCTGTAGGTATTTCAGAGATTCAAAAAGATTTCCAGTGTGTTGCTGAATTTGTAATAGTTAAAATCTGATCTAAACTTACGCATGAATGTCTTGCCTTGGTTTCTAGCAGTTTGGGAGCCTAGGCAGATTTGGTATATGAAGCTGAAGTGAAAGCAGAGGGGCTAAAATAGAACTCTCCAGTGAGTAATGTTGGCCTTTGAAACATTATGTGAATGGACTTTGTTTTCAGGCAGTGCAGTCCCAATCCTTCATCAGTCTTAAAACCAATT